TTGGCTTTAGTCAACTAAAGGACGATTTGTATAAACGAAAATTAATATCTGATCCTTTCTGTTCATGTGGGGCTGTTGAAACTAGTGAACATTTTTTCTTCCATTGTTCTCTGTATAATATTGAACGTTCCTTGTTGTTTGATGAGGTATTGAAGCTATTGTCAACTATTTCTATGCTCATGCTGATGTTGTGTGATTTGCAATTATCGCATGATGAATGCGATGGCATTTATTATTCTGTGTTGCGGTATATAGATGCGACAAAGCGTTTTGCAAGTTGGTCTGAGTAACCTTCAATTCTAGTATATATATATATTTGTCATTCATGTTCGATACTGTTAAACTGGCAAATAGATAGAGCCCACTTAATTCAAATTTACATGCTCAGTAGGATCGAAATAAATATGGCTTATTGAACTTTTAAAAAACATTTTGAGAAACAAAGGCTACTATCATCACAATAGCTAAATAAATCTTTTCTAGCAAAAAATTCTTTGCGAGTTTACGTCGAATTTAGCTCGAAATTTCAACGATCATATCTGATATCAAATGAAGTCCGGAAATTTTTTTATAATTTATCTATTTCCGTCTGTGTGATGTGGACACTACGAAGGGAGAAATAAAGTCGCAAGCATTTCGATTTCTGACAGGCAATAGAGGACTCGGGTTAGTTTTGTTTTGAAGCGAACACTTGTGGCGAGGAGCTGACAGAGTTCAATTTGTTAATTCTTTTCATTGCCTTTTTTGGCAGTCATATCAAGTTTAAAACATAAGAATTGCACTGCAGTAAATCAGTTATAGTCTAACGAAAAACGTCTTGTTGACTGCGGGACGTGTCATTTGTGGAAGACACTTTTTCTACATGGTACTTTATAATTTGTAACAAAATTGCTTCCAATTTTGCAACACTATGATTTTTCGAAAAGCTGCAGGTAAACACCCACGAATAATTCATGCCAGTCAAAACAGGTTAACCGGTAAGATGAAATTTTTATCCCTAATAATTCGGTTCTTCTCCTTGTAAATATCTTTATAACATAGTGACGATTATTTTCCATTGTATCTCCGATTCCATCGAAAATCACCTATTTTCCAATGTTTGTGCAAAATTGTAGTCAATCGGAGCGAATCAAACGTTGAATTGTACACATAGAATAACAAAAACTTATAACAAGTTGTATGAGTACAAACACAAAAATTTACGTTAAGCTCAAGTATCATAGACTATTATATAACAGACATCAGTCAAAACATGCACACATTACGTATAGACTAAAAAATATGAGTATTTCAAGTCGAAAATAATCAATGAAACTTTTATCCTTTCTTTGAACAGTATAAAATGATACTATATATGCTTTTTACTGTGACATTTTCTAGTTATAAATTCCAAGCCAACCGGATCCGGTCAAATCCGGCGGTTGATAAGTCTCCACCGAACCGAGAATGGGCGCCCGATCCGGTTGCATCTGCGGGTTCAACTAACGATAGGCGAGAAAGTTATAAGTGTAGTTAAATTTGTAAGAGACTAAAATATGTCTCGAAATCTCTAGACCTTTTCACTTTTCGGTTTAATTTTAAGCTTATAAGCTTGCTTACCACAATGTATATCATCGTCTATCTATGATCGTCTGTGATTGTCGTATCTGTGAATGATACAACCGCTACGCAACATCCCTATTATGGCTCGACAAGTTAGTTCACAATCATCTTCAATGCTGTCATATTACTTCAAACCTTAACTAAGACGTTTCAAGTCCATTCAATTACTGAAGACTAATTATATACAAATTATGGGGCAAATTAATTCACTAAATTATAGTAATTACTATCCCAAAAGAGTTCTTTAGAAACGTGAGTACGGGTCGCTTACCAGTCAAAATTTTTAGAAAAATTGTCGGTTAACCAATTTTTAAAGGTCAGAAGTGGCGGGAAGCGAAAAGGGAGTATTTTCGATCCTTTTCACTCAAAATCATAGCTGGTCGTTTCTTACAAAAAGCCGTTTACGTAAAGCTATAAAATATACCGGGAGTTCGAAAAATCAGTTTTGTCATACATGAATGAATCGAGCTACTATGATTGTTTTTTTATTATAATTTTTGAATTGTTTTCTGTAAGGGCCCCACTAGTTGAGGGCGCTTGATCATACCATTTTCTTGATGCTCGACGCACTGAATGCAAGTGTAGTCGATTTTGGACTGAACCATACCACAAACGCCATCCTTTAAGGTCATATCTCAACCGTTTTGGAGAAAAATGAGATTTTGCTGTAGAAAGCCAGTGAATCTCATTTGAATCATTTAAAACAAATCGATCGAAGGAAGAGTTTTCAACACGTAACCAATCATCTATTGTTATAAGTTAAATAAGACAATTAGGATTGTAAAAAGGCACTCGTATGTTGTATCGCTATGATGTTTATGTGCTCATTGAAATTAGTAGCCTAAGTATGTGTACATTTACTTGTTTTTTTCAAGGTTGTAAGAAATATTGAACTCACCTTCAGTCCCTTAAATTTATAAAGCACTCGAGTACAAATTTTATGAAGTGAAGAAAAAGTCTTGAAGTAATCGTATTTTACGTTTTATTTGAAAAATGAATTCCACTTTAAGTTACTTTTCTGTGCAAATAATTGAAAAGTTTTTCAAGTATCTTATGATTTTCCACAATTTTCACTGAGAGCGGTGAGAAAGAATAATAGGTAATGTTATAACGTAGTTATTGAGATAAAACGCTTCTTATTCTGATTGGCGTAAGTAAGAAAAAGATAAAATTCTTCGTGGTAGGGCACAAAAAAGGCCAAATTTTACGAAACCACTACTATAAATTTTCGCAAACATCTCTATTAAATAAATATTGCGCAAAAACCGCAAGTTTCTATCGCTTTTCGTTCATGAGTCAGTCATTCAAAAACCACAGGCCAACATATAAAAATTCATCATACCTATTTGATATTCCCTTAGTGGAACTCACACATAGGATCGCCTTAATAGTACAGTCAACTTGTTATATTACCATTTAATTCCTTGTGAACAGTTACATATCGAATTACTATTTTAATATACTATAGCAGAAATACACTAATTGGAACAAGATCCTGGAACTCGGTTCTCCTAGTCGAGCCGCCGAAGCCATTTGAGCAAAACCCAGAAATCTCAGAATGGACTATGACAGTACACCTGGTGCACTGCAGCAGTAGACTAGGGATGCTCCGTTTCCATGGAGAAAGTCAGTCCTGAAAATGGTCAGTTTTAGGCAAAATTGCAACTTTCAAATCGTCCGTATTGAAAACGAAAGCACCAGCACTGTCAAACTTTTACCAAATATGCTTTAACATGTAATCTATTTGAAAATATAGTTGAAAGTCTCACCATTGACTTCGTTTCAAATGGGTGCTACAGGAAAATTCAAGGTTTTATGGATTTGGACTGTTAGTGCACCATTTACTATAAAATAACGGAAGCTAAATATTCAAGTTCATTTTGAAGCCGAGAAAATTCTCTATCTTTCTATATACAAACTATTCCGGTGCTCAGTAGATGCGTTAGAGAAGTGTCCTTTTAAAGTGTTAGGATAGGTGAAAATCATATCTGTGTAGTATTTCTATCATTGTTATACATCAACATATTAACATATCAAGAGGTTTATCTATAGTTCGTTATGAAGTGCGGAAAATTGTTTAGCTTTCTGTGTACGAGCTTTGGTCAAGGTGTTAGAAATTGTAACAAAAATTTGAGGAACAAAGTGAATGGTCTTCGTTGCATTTGTCACATTCGGTTCTATATAGAGGAGAAATTTCATTTCTTTCGAATCGGGATTAGTTTGAACAATATCAGCCACGGCACGTTGTACCATAAGATCAGATTTTAGTGCTTCAATAAACGTTGTTCTAACATCTTCTGGTAAGAGTTCGAATCTTAAACGCTTTACAGACGGAGGTGCTGTGCTATCTTTCTGAGGTGTAGTATTGGCGAGAAGACTCGCTTGATCGTGTGTAGCCATTATATAATAAGTAAGTAAACTGATAGTATTTAATGATACCTGTGAGAATATTTACCCGCTCACAAGCGCAAACACATACAACCTTCCGACAAAGAAAAATAGAGGAGAAAACGGAATATACGAAATGGACATTTAAGCAGATAATGACCGTCCTTAGAGGTTAATCTTCTTTTCTTATAGCACAAGAATTGTGCTAACAGACGATGATATTCCTACACTTGTTGAAAATCAACATGGTCCAGTATATATTTCAAAACTGACAAACCTTTTCCACCAAAAACGGCCGAGAAATCGAGACCCATGTTACAAAATAAAACTGTACATTCTTCTAGTGTATGTGTATTAAGATAATGAATCTTATCGAAATGGAACATCAACTAACTCTTTATGTAATCGCACAATACGATCGGCATCCGTCACTCGTGGATCCCATGCGTTTCTATTCAAATTCCATGGTAATGACGGATGCATGGCTAAATTAAATGTCGCTGGATGCGTTGTTAATAGCACGACAACGCATCCCGCGACAGCAGATTATATAACAGAGTTGATCCTGTTCTTGGGAGGCCTATTATACAAATCGGCGATTCAATGTCAGTATGTCGAATTTCGGAATGAGTTTTCAAATGATGAACAATTCTCAAACGTTCTTTCATTGTTCTTAAAAACCACTTTTGTCGAAGAACTAAATTGACTGAACAAACTGATGAATCCATCCGATATATTTCAGCGTGATTGTAGTAGATTTGTTCAAACAGATCCATTTCTTTTTCATCGCCAAAATCTCTTAGTTCAAATCCATTCAGTTCTTATCGATTCTCTTTGATTGCTTTCTTTTTGAACTATTCAAATGATGTGGCGCATGGAATAATTCATAATTGAAAGTTAGTCTTAACCCTTTGAGTACGGGCGACACGAATTCGCGTCCTGACATTATACCTTCGCTATTTTACTCTCCATATATTTTCAAGTAAAACTAATAACATATTTGAGATCAGCAGACAAAACTGGGTCGAATAGCATACTTAACACTCGGTTTTGAAACAAAAAATTTTCATTGAAAATCTTCTCTCTAGGTTAGGGGTGAGTGTGTAATCTTTCTGACAAAAATTTCAGCCACGTTTTCCGGAACCATAGGTTTCCATGATTATTTTTTTATGATTCCGATGTATATTGAATGTAAATTCTATAGTAGAAAGACCTTAGTTCATCACCCTCGCTCTTCGACGTATGTTTCAATCGTGGGTGCTCGTCATCAATGAATTTCCAGAACCACACTATAGTTAACCTTCATACTTTGGGCAGATAATCTACAGACACTGTAGAGTTTTTGGTGCAAATTTGAAGTCAAAATGATGCTCCTAGATGGAATTGTGAATTTTTTCGCCAAGGGCCTCAAATTTTCAACCAAAGAAAACAAACCTCGCCCGTAAAATAGCTGTATTTCACTTACTACTAACAGCCAATTCACGAAATACATATTGTAGATGGAGCAGGGTCGTTGCTACATTTTAGTAAAGAGAAAAAGTTTTCGTCTCTCTTAGGTCAGAAGCTATTGATATTTTACGGAAAAGAAATAAATCGCTTATATCTCACGGACCATCCAGTAAAAGAGGCCCAAAGTTGGTGGGTACTCAGCATTCAGTGAGAGCTATGTCCACACAAAACTAGAAGTCCCTAAGTATCATGGTTCTTGAGTTACAGGGGTGTCGCTACTTTTGCGGGATTATTTTTTTTGAAAAAATAATCCCGCACTCAACGGGTTAATAAGTAGCCTATACAGTTTATCAAGTATACTTTCCAAGATGTGTGACGATTGTACACAAAACGTCGTTTCAAGAACGATGCACATACGACACCGTTGGATTTTTCATGTAATAATTTCACGCTGATACGAACTAGTATGACTGCAAGCACAGCAATACTCCACGAACACCACATAACGTCGAAGTCTACTGAATACTACAAAAGAGTGACGATTTAAGCTATTTCTGTAGGACTAATGATGATTCAGTGATATCAACAAGTGGAAAAGTTGATTTGCTGCACAATGTGGACACGCGTGAACGAATTTTCCATGGACCTTGTGGATATTAGCATTTTTCAAACATGTATGCTTAATTTCTCACACATGGACACCCGTGAAAAAGAAGACAAACTCTTATTACAGAGATACATGGAAATTAAATAGATCCTTTATTCATTTAGAAGTAAACCACTCTGACATAATATTAGTGAGACTAACTCATGAAATCATTCCTCGAAAGATCTATTATTTTTACATTAAACAACGCTAAAAGTAGATATACAGTCTTCTTTCTTCAGGTGATTTGCTTATCCTACTTATTTACTTACTTACGAAGAGTATGCTGTTGCAAACTTCTCATCAAGTGTTGCTTCTGGTTTTATTCCAACAGCGATTAGAACTCGAATAAAGATTACGTTAAACTACTTTCTGAAGGACGCCGGTAACTTTCAAATATTGCATTAGAATTGAGTCTAAGTTTGGTTATTTTGAATGAGGGAGAATATGCGTACCTACAGATGAATTTGTTTATCGTCATCTAATAGTAGGAAAAATAAAAATACAAATGTCATGCTTCATTTCATGCTTAACCCCAATATCAGTGTCTCACTCATTGGCTGGTATCCATATTCGAATGAAAAAAAGAAGGGTTACAAATGAGACCATCTTTGTCTCAATGCATCTGTAGGTATACACATATATTATGTAGCTTGTTTTACGCGAATTAGAATCTGTCATTTGCAAAGTGATGTGCAAAGAGAATAGAGCATATGGCAAATTGTAGATAATGCGCTTTAGATTAACCTGAGGATGGAAAATGTAAATTCGAAATGGTAGTTGGAGTTTTGAGTATACAAAGTATCGAAAAGTAGTACGGCTACACGTTATTATCACTGAACTGTAATTTCATCGAGTAAAGTTACAGATTACAAGTTAATGTCACTAACTAGGAAAGATCTGTAAATATCCAGCCGCCTTTTGCTTAAAATACATTTATACATAATTAACAGTGCTGACTCTGAATATTATAGCCGATGAAGCAGAGTCTTTTAGAGATTGGTTTCTGGAAAAACAAAAACTTTCTTGTCCAGAATGAAATTTTGATGGGTCAGTTTGTAGAATACACCAAGTTACGTATAAGTGTATATTCTTTAGACTATCAAACACTTTTTGGCAGAAGTTGTGAATAATTTTATTTCAGTTTCTTTCAATAGCTATCTAGAAATGAACATTATGAAGAAAAAACAAACATTAGATAAAGTTGATTTTACACTGAAAGATAGATTCAAATAAGTTGAAGAAGATTATAAGACTTCCTCTTGAAATTGTAGGTGGTCATATTCACATTTACGTTTTTGGTTTATATCAATTCTTCTCTAAAATTCACAGATTTTCTTCATCTGTGTTGATTCAGCAGAACCGAAATAAAATTATTCATGGCGCTGCCAAAACATATGTGATAGTCTAAACACTTTATGCTCATACATAACTTGATTCTATAAGAAAACTAAACATCAGTCTACATTACTAAACAATCGAGACGAATACCAAAAACAAATGGTTTTGAAATAGTAGTTATTTAGCATTACTAACCAATATTGTTTTTGAATTTCACCATGTTCTCCGATATCTTTAATGTAAAAGTTCGCTCCATCTTCTAATAGTAATAATTTATCGACAATTAGTTGCAAAACATATTTGCATCACTTTGTTTGATGGACTTGTTGTTGCTCGGATAATTCTTTCTAATATTACGTTTTCCAAATAACGACGTTGAGGAAAAGGCAGTTCATTAATTATGAATGTAAACGGCCACAACCCACTATCACTACGCATTTTGTGTTTGTGTATATCATCGGTATTTAAGGTGAGACTAAATGTAGTTTCTTCTTCTCTTGTTAAAAAAGTGCTACCATACCAAATGTCTTTCAGATCATTTTTGTTGTTTTCTCTTGTTTGTTTCATCAATTGATATATACCATCGTGTTTTAATATTTGTTGTATTTGAGATTTTATAGATCCAAGAAAAAATTGATGTGAATATTCTCTATCATTTTGAACATAATTTGCGTTTTGCTAATTTTGTTTCAACAGCCAATTTACATTGTTCACATATCGAATATTCAGTTTGTAATTTTTTAAAATTTTCATGTTTACTTGTTAAATTTCGTTTCACAGCATCTGACGAATGACAAAAGTTATCTGTTTTCATGCCATTAAATAAATCGCAAAAACCATCAACTGTATCATTTGATATTCCATTTCGAATTTTATGAATCATCATTACGGCTGCAGAATCACGTTTATTTGGTGTTATACTTCTATCGATTGTAATACCTAAATGATAATCATAAACAGGTCCTTTATCAGAACTGCAATAGAATCGTTTCAGTCAAATCAGATATATACTCTGTGAATTTTGATCGTCAATTTCATCTATTGTTTTCTTGTTTGTCGGATATCCATAATAATTATCATTGTTAGTCCTAAATAGATAAACAACAACGTGACGAGAGATCCATCTATAATCATGGCTTCGTGATCGTAAACCAGTGTACAGATTTGGAACAAACGTACCTGGGTCATTTGCAGGCGTTGATAGTGCTTGCTCTTCAGAATTATTTGTTGTTTAATCAACACCAGAAATGAATTGAAGTACATGTGAAGAAATTTTGGATTGAACACTGACTTTTACGAAGTCTCGACAAACTTGATCTGTACGTCACCTGAAGCTTATTACAAAATACCTTAAATCTCAAATAAACTGAAGAAATTCTGATGTATTTTTTAGATAGTGCCAAGGACCAAAACTTTCCGATCCGGCCCAGTCCATCCGGGAGACCGAAAAAAAATCACAGCGCAAAGTGCCGAAAAAATTTGTTATGACCTTGTTTTTATACAAAACAATTGCTCCAGTGGTGTAAAATAGTTTTTTCGATAAAAAGTGTCCATTTTGGGAAATTGTTTTCTTGTTGCAGAGGTAGTATTACTTTTGGTTGGCTTAAGGGTACCCCCCACCTTTCCGGAGTTTCTGGAGAACGGCTAGTCAGAAAATATTGAAACTTACAGAGCAGATAGATCTCGGTGAGTACAGCAAAAGTTGTCAGAGACTCAAAGTTCCCGGATGCTGTCTTCTATAAAGTATTGGGGTCACAATGAGTCAAAATGACAAATTTTGTAAAAGCTGCCAAAAATCACCAGAGCAATATTTTTTGAAATCAAAAGAAATGCCCACCCCAAATTGTATCTAGTATATGTGGAAAAAGTTTCAGCCCGATCGGACGTATTGAAGTTGAGAAACGGGGACAAAAAGTTACTTTTTTGTATAAAATTTGATTTTGAGAGAAAACGTTGTGTATTGCTAAGTCTAGTTTAGGGTTTGTAGAAAAATGTTTGTAACTCTAGAACGGAAGGTCATACAGAGTTGCGGGACGTCTTATTTTGGTCAGAAAAGTCTGCTCTAGAAGCCTACATGTTAGAAAAAAGTTCAATTACATAAACATTCAGGAAAAAAATGTTATGTGAACACATTGTTTCCGAAGCTCCCAGAAAACCGCGAAAAACCACTTCTAGAACTGAAAGCGGTACCGATTCTGAAAGTAAAAAAAAAAAGTCGAAAAAATTTTGATTTTCACGTTCGGAAAGATGGTGGACCCTTAAAACTTCTCTAATGAAGTTATCTATGGTGGACCAAAACCTTTTGATCTAGTCTGACCAAAGCAAAGTTGTCCCGTTGAGTCTGATCAGGTCCAATGCGATTCGCGAATCGGTTTGTGGAGATCTCTGGTACTTTTTAATCAATAAGTAACACAGAAAGTTGGAAACCTTCTCTAAAAGTTACTGTTTTCAAGCGTTATACTGGTAGTTAGATCGGTCATCGATTACATAATTGCTGCAAAACGTTTTAATATTAAACTAACCATCTCAATTGGTTATGCTCTCTACATTGCTCTTACGCTTTTGCTTAACGTTCGTACAATACCTTAAAGTTTAGCGTGCATCATTTTATTCTTCTTGTCTTCTTTCTTACATTCTTTTTTCCTGTTTCTCTCTTATTTTTCTTGCTTTTCATCTGCAATGGCTTATATCATTTACCATGTCATTTTCCTCTGATATAATGGCCTAGGCCGCATCGGTGTAAAGTGACTACTCTTATTTCTCTTTTTTTGAATGAATAAGGTTTAAACTAAAGAGAATTTTCGACTCAAATTTCGGAATTTACCCATCAGATAGGTTAAAACCCATCAGGAATTCATTGGAGATGGTTTTGAGACTATTCAAGGTTTTCTAGAAGCTGTTGGGGCTGCTTTGACTACTTAAGAGCCATTATCTGAGAGGTTCAGACAGATAGTTACACTGATGTCAACCGATTTGGCTGAAATTTGTACTATATCATCTAGACCTAGGACTAGGTTATGGTAAAATTTCAGCTCAGTAGAACCTTTCCCTGCCGAGTTATAGATTTTACAAGTTGCATAGGTCAAAAGCGTCGAAAACATGCGTTTTTCAATAAAATTCCATTTTCTCAGCAACGACTCATCATAGAGAGCTGAAACTTTCCGCAAATATTCTTTATATAGTTGATTCTATGTACCAAAAGTTTCAGCTTTGTACAAGGTTTCCTTAGGATTTGACAGCTTTTCCAGTACCTGGAGGCCTCCAAAGATCCATCCAAATCACCTCAGCGCCAGGCACTTAAAAAATTGAAACATATTGGATCTAGACCATCGGGTTTTTACGGTGTTTTTCTATTACTGTGCAGCGATAAAAAATAATGTGTTATTTGTAGGATCGTTGGCCGCAACAACATGCTCTGTGCATGGATCTTTCTCACCACGAAGAGGTCATCCTACTTGGAGAAAGGTTAAAACAGTGCGGAAACTATTGTCTCCCCCTTACAAAAAAAGAGCCATGGAAATTCATCGTAGTCAAAAAAATAGAATCAAATACATCGAGCCAAATAATTTCATCAGGAATTTTTATGGGAATCAAACGTCCAAAACTTTAACAAAATTCAATTAAACAAA